GCTCTATCAGACCAAAAAACCTGGTCTTTTTTTTTTTGTTGTTAATAATTTTGAGTTTTGTTCTACATTGCTGTCCCATTCTCTCCAGGATCTCCTATGTAGATACCTCTCTGAGTAGTTGACAGTGGTAGCTTGGCACCATCTAGTTCTTCTGGTCTCATAGTCGTATAGGCTGAGGATCGCATGGTGTACCAATGGCTTGGACTAATTGTTTCCATGTGCCTTTGGTTTTCTTCATTCTTCTTTGCTCTGGACAAGGAGAGACCCATTGTTGCATCTAGATGGCCACTTCCAAGGTTTTAAGATCCCGGTTGCTACTCACCAAAGTAGGATGTGGAACAATGTTTTGTGTAGTCTTTTATGCCAATTGACCTTTATGTCCCCTGCGACTATGTTCCCAAGCCCACTGGTCCAACTACTTGCTCCCTCTGGGTAGCTGCCTGTGGCCAAGAAGTGCCTACAACATTGCCCCTTGTTGGCTCTACCATATATATAGGAAATCTTATAGAACATACAAATACACTTGTAGAAACATTGTCTGCCAACCCTATACATGATTTTGGGTACACTCCCCCCTGCATAGACATACCTAATAGTTCAGCCTGTGCACCCATCTATCTACCCGTATAGCCATGTTTGCCTTCACTGACAATGCAGTACTGTATGTGCAAAAGGGTTAATCTTTGTTGTCTGTACCTCTCATGCACCTCTCTATGTCTTCCTCTTCCTCAATGCCACCATGTTGATCACTCATATTTGGCACATGCCCTTCTCTTCACCCAAATCAATACTTGTCTCTACCTATCTACCAGTGTTCCCTCCCCTCCCTTCCCACCCCTGATAACCAACAAAGAAAATTTCCTTCCATATATAAACCTTTTCTTGACTTTTTACAAATTCAAAGGCATTTTGATTTCCCTTTCTTAGCTTATGGCCCTGGCTAGGACTTCCATTACAGTGTTGAATAGAATTGGTGATAGAAGGCATCCTTGTCTGGTTCCTGTTTGCAAGGGGAATAGTTTCAGTCTTTCACTGAGAATAATGTTGGCTGTTGGTTTTGCATAGATGCCTCTTATTATGTTGAGGAATATACCTTCTATTCCTGTTTTGCTGAGAGTTTTAATCAGGAATTTGTGTTAGATTTTATCAAATGCCTTTTCTGCATCCCTTGATATGATCATGTGGTTTTGCTTTGTTTTATTTATGTGGTGGATGACGTTGATTGTTTTTCTAATGTTGAACCATCCTTGCATACCTGATGTGAACCCCACTTGGTCATAATGAATTATTTTTTTTATATGCTGTTGGAGTCTATTGGCTAGGATTTTGTTGAAGATTTTTGCATCTATATCCGTGAGGGATATTAGTCTGTAATTAAGGAATAACATTATATGAACTCTCAATATTTACACTCAAAATAGGAATTCATTCAACAATTCAAAAAATTCATTCAACAAATGCATTTTGAGGACCTACTACATTGCTTGGGAGCTCTGGTAGCGTAGTGCCTAAGACTTGTCTGCTAACCAGTGGTGGTTCAAACCCACCAGCCACTCCTTGGAAGGAAGATGGGGCAATCTACTTCCGTAGTGATACTGCCTCGGAAACCCAAGGAAGGGTTGCTACGAGTTGGGTCCAACTCGAGGGCACACAACAACAACAACAACAACAACACTGCATTGCTACTTTGTTAGAGATGCAGCAGAGAACAAAATAGAAAAAGTTGCTGCCCTCATGGAGTTTATACTTTGGTAAACAAATAAATGCATAATAGCCAGGGTTAAGTACTATGGAGAAAAGTAAAGACAGGCATGGGGATAAAGATATGGGATAATGGGGGTTGTTTTTGCCATTTATATAGTGTGGGCAGGCATGGGCTCATTAGTAAGGCCCTTTGGGTACTTGTGTTCTCAGCAGAGGGGACAGGAAGTGCTGAGGCCCTGGGGCTGAGGTGTGCTTGATGTACTCAAGGAACAGCTGGGAAGCCAGTGTGAATGGAACAAAGGGAAGTCTGGAAAGTAGAAGGATATGAGGTCAGAGAAGGAAGAGAAGGGCTGGAGGATGGGCAGAACATGTCAGGCCTAGTAGCCATGGTAAGACTTCTGGATTTTATTCTGCGAGAAATGAGAAGTGGTTGGAGTTTTGAGCAGAGGAGTGATATCATCTAACTTACTTTTTAAAGAGATCACTGTGTGGAAAATGTACTGCGGAAGAAGCAAGCAGGGTGATCAGTTAAGAAACTACTAATGCAGCCAAGTCCTGGGCTTGGACCAGTGAAGATGGTAACAAGTAGTCAGATCTTGGGTATATTTCAGAGGTAGAGCAAACAGACTTTGCTAATGTATTAGAAGTGAGGCGAGAGAAAGGGAAGAGTCAAGGATGATGCCAAGTGTGTAAAAAAAAGAAGTATTTCCTGACTTCCTAAGCAGAACCACTCTTGCCTCTATATTTTTCATGAATCACGTTGTATTGAATGATTTGTGTATATGTCTACCTCCTTACTAGGCACAACATGGATCTTATTGATGAATGATGAAGTTATTATTATCCCAGAGTTGGAGGAGAAACTGGGGATTAGAAGGCAACATGCATCGCAGAAAAATGGAAGGGGCAAGTGTTAAGGATTGAATTGTATCTCCTCAAAATATATATTGTAAATCCCAATCCCTACATCTGTGGATGCAAACACAAGCATGGGGTTTTCTTTGTTATGTTAATGAGTCCATTAGTATAGGGTGTGTCTGAAACCAATCACTTTTGAGATCTGTAAAGAGCCAACAGGCACTGAAGCAAGCACCCACGAATGGGGGAAAGGTAGGTGCCACCCGGAGATCTCCAGGGAACATGGAGAAGACTGCTGGAGAAGCTGAGATAAGGATTTCACTCCAGATCAATCATAGAAAGCCTTCCCATAGAGCTTGGGCCCTGAATTCAGAAGTCTAGCCTCCTAAACTCTGAGAAAATAAATTCTGGTTCCTTTAACACCATCCACTTGTGGTATTTCTATTACAGCAGCACTAAGAAACTAAAGCAGGCAGGAAGCTAGTCAAACGTGGAGTGGAGAGCACCAGTTGGGATCCCAGCAGTCTTGAGTTTGAATTATGGTTCCATCACTTGAATGTGGACTTTGGGCAAGTTACATTAACTTCCCTCAGCCTTAGATTCTGTAAAATGGGGATAATAATGATACTAACTTTACAAGGTGATATTATCCCCATTTTACAGAATCTAAGGCTGAGAGAGGTAATATAACTTGCCCAAAGTTACCTCATAAATTTGTTGAGGAGTTCTAGTGGCATAATGGGTTAGAGCATTAGGCTGCTAACCAAAAGGTTGGCGGTTCAAATCCACTAGCTGATCCATGGGAGAAAGATGAGGCAATCTACTTCTGTAAAGATGTACAGCCTTGGAAACCCCATGGGACAGTTCTATTCTGTACTATAGGGTCACTATGAGTCGGAATCAACTCCATGGCAGTGGGTATGTATGTATAAAGTTGTGAGAAAGAAATGCAATCCAAGTCAGGCCTTATCTCAGTACTTCCCATTTCTATGTCTATCATTGGCCCTTTCACAAGTTATCTTTAACATTCCTGCTCTCTGAACTATCTCTCTGTGCAAGTACTGCCTTTCTGATCTCCCATAGTTGGTTGTTCTAAGGGGTGACGTACCTGGTGTAAATGTTTAAAATATGCCTGTCTGATATTTGACTGGGAGCTCTGGTGGTGTAGTGCCTAAGGCACTTGACTGCTAACCAGAAGGCTGGCGGCTCAAACCCACCAGCCACTCCTTGGAAGGAAGATTGGGCAATCTACATTTGTAGAGATACCGCCTAGGAAAAGGAGGGATTGCTATGAGTCAAATTGACTCGAGGGCAGTGAGTGTGGGCTTTTTTTTTGGAATATTTGTCTGGAAGCCACGGGAGTGAGTTCAGTTTCAGGCCTGAAGGTTGATTAGGGGGTACAGTATTGGGAGTTTCACTGGTCTCTATCAGACCAATAAGCCTGATATTTTTTATGATTTTGAATTTTCTTCCACATTTTTCTCCCATTCTATTCAGGATCGCCTACATTGATCGCTTTCTGAGTGGTTGACAGTGGTAGCCAGGCTCCATTTAGTTCTTCTGGTCTCAGAGTCATGTAGGCTGAGGTTCACATAGTCCACTAGTCCCTTGGACTAATTGTTTCCATGCATCTTTGCTTAAAAATACACTTGATTTTTGTGTATTGATCTATATCTTGTTCTGCAGAAAGTTTTACCTTTAGTGAGGGGTAGAAAAGACTTAGAAACTGTTTCCATCAGGGCCATTAAAAGTTTCTATTGTATTCCATTTGGTCACAAGATTAATGACAAAAGCTAACATTTATCAAACACCTGTCATGTTACTTCTTTGTGTTATAACTGTTCAATGGCTTCCCATTGCTCTTACAACAGGAAAAGAGACCAGAAATCAGACTTCTAAGACCCTGAACGACCAGATCCATTTCTGCTCTGCAGTCCCATCCTTCATTGTTTTTCCCTGTATACTTCAGCCACATTGGCATCCTCAACTTCTTCCATGCTTCTTCCTGTCATAGAGTCTTCATTTCCACTGTTCCTCTTGCTGAATCACTACCAACTCCCCATGCCATCCTCCCCCAATAATTACCACCAGTAATGGCTGCACTGTACTTCTTTCTAGTGGGCAAAACTATAACTTTTCAATGTCTCTGTCGCCCACTAAATTGAACGTGTATATATTGTTCACAACTGTGTCACTAGGATCCTGCACAGCACCTGGAACGTAACTGGAACTCAATAAAGGGAGGGGATAAACTGTGTCAGGGACTTTATACACATTATCTCGCTTATTCTTAAGGTACATGTTACAAACGAGGAAACTGAAGCAGAACGAAGTAAAGTGGCCCGAAGTCACATAGCTAGTGAGTGGCACAGTCTATGTTTTTGAGTTTAAAATAACCCCTCCTAGGAGAAGTGTTCATCTCTTGATTTGCCTTCCAGTGGAGACTTTCCAGAAACTGCAGAAGGCAAAGGAGGTTCTGACCAATGAAGAGAAACGAGCCCGCTATGACCACTGGCGAAGGAGCCAGGTGTCGATGCCCTTCCAGCAGTGGGAAGCTTTGAGTGACTCTGTGAAAACGGTGGGTTTCTTCTGGTGATGATGTGAATTAGTGAAGCTCAGACTGCCCAGGGGTTAGACTCATGCAGTGTCCGAAAGAGCCAATAGGCAAGAGGAAAGAGAAGTCCAAGAAGCTGGTAGAGGCTGGATGTAACTCAGTGTTCACAAAATCTTCAGAGAAATTCACCATTGTGAAGGCAATGCATTGGTGTCAGAAGAGCCTGTGACCACCATTTTCAATTGCTTTGGCTGTTTGTTTTGGTATAGATCCCCTCCATTATCATTTATTGTTTTGTGCATTTTGGTAAATGTGACTTGCAGGTTCCTCATCTACTGTACTGTTGAATTTTGAAACATTGCAGATTTATCTCCTCCAAGTTCAGATCAACTTGCTCTTTTTTTGAGTGACTCAGGCTTATAGAATTTTTTTCTCTCCTTTCAAGATTTATAGATTTGATTAAAAAAACAGGGTCTGATTGATCAAAGAAAGTTATCATTTTTTTTTTGTAAATTTTTCCTATTGTAAATTTATGGTGAAAGAATTATTGGATAGATGTTAAAATAAGTAACTTTTTTAACCATTATCTTCTTTCTTCGTGCCATTAAAAAAACCCTAAATATCAAGATAATCTCTACAATACTGAAAATGATTATTTACTGACTTTTACATATTATATAGAAATGTAATTTTAGCAGTTGCTATATTCTTAGGCATGATTTATTTCCCAGCTTCTTTCCATAGCAACACTATTCTAGGACATGAGACTTAGAATACTGAAGTTATCTTATAGGCAAGTTTTCAGCAACAGTTGTTAGAATTAATCTATAAAGTTATTCACATCTATTATATTACAACCCAAAGCGTTTGTAAATTTTTTATTTAGATTCTCTTTTAATAGTTTTTATTTTAAGAAGACTTGAATAAATTATTTTTAAACTGGTTAAAGGAGGTCTTTTGAGAGTAAGAATGGCCTTTGAATAACAGGGAAGAGCAATGCAAAACTCTGAAAGTATATGATTAAAGCCACTGTACCTAAAATAAAAAAAACTTTCCTTCATCTTGTTTTAGAATGAAGAATATAATCATATGTATTTGTTTAAAGTGGGGTAATTATTTGTGTGAGACTAACCATATGATTAGTATTAACCATATGATCAGTACACACATACACCCACATAAAAAAAACTCGAGGAAATCTTTCTAAAAATAATGACTTAACTTCACATACTTGAAAAATGAAATTTTCCCCCTTTTCCATTGTGTATATCCAAATTTCCTTGTTGACTCTGACTCAGTAAACATTGTTCTACCACCTCTGCGTAACCATATTCCCACTCTCCGAAGTGAGACATTGTGACTGCTACTGAATTATTGACCCTTGCTATTCTAATGCCGTTTTTTTTTTTTTTTATTAGGATTTGGGTGAAGATTTACAGAGTAAATTCACTTTTCATACAGCAGTTCACATATACTTTGTCTCATGTCATTGACCAAAATTTACAATGCAGCAGCTCCCCTCCCACTTCCTCCCCATAGTTACCTCCTCCCAGTGTCCATCCCTTCATACTCTTCGAGAGGCCCATTGTCTGCCAACCCTGTATATGATCTTGGATACACTCTCCATTTAGACATACATAATTGTTTAGCTTGTTCACCCATCTATCCGTCCCTATCCCCATGTTTGCTTTCATTGACAACTCAGTATTGTATTTTCTAATGCCGTTTTGATTTACTTTTTATTTTTCTGCTCAACTTCATCATTTAATTTTTAACAGCTAATATCAAGTTAGCTATAGATTTTCCAAACACTTCTCCAAATCCTTGTTTTAGTTCCTATTGCCAACTCCATTTAATATTAATTTCCTGACTCCAAACACATCATTTCTGTTTTGCATTTAGCTTATGAACGGGAGCTCTGGTGGCGTAGTGCCTAAGGCATTTGATTGCTAACCAGAAGACTGGTGGTTCAAATCCACCAGCCACTCCTGGGAAGGAAGGTTGGGCAATCTACTTCTGTAGTGATACTGCCTTGGAAACCCAAGGAGGGGTTGCTATGAGTTGAATCTAACTCGAGGGCAGTGAGTTTTGTTTTTTTGTAATTATGAATTGTTTAAGGCTGCATTGTTTGTCTTGTCAGCAAAGTGGAAGTAATGTGCTAGGCTTCCATTTGGTTTTGGATATTTTTTATTTGTAATGCAAAAAGGAAGAGCTGCATGTCTTTCCGCTTTAAATCAGCAGTGATGTTTTTTCTCACATAGTTTTGTTTGAGCTAGACCTTGATTTTTCTAATTTGCTTTTATTTCCTTTGCTTCACGGACTTTGAATCTGCTATACCGTCTCACATGTTTTGTACCTCATTGGCTAGACATCCTTTAATTTTCTTTATTCCTTTCTTTTCTACTCCTCACAGTGATTTCTGCACATTGAAAACCTCATCTGTGTCTACAGCATCTTAATTGTTACTTTCTGTGTGCATTTATTTAATCTGTTCATTCTTTTGCATTCACTACTTTACAGAAATTAATAATAGGTATAATACCTACTATTGTTCATCACCTAATAGATCATTGTTTATCCTTCTCTGCAGATAAAGAACACCAAGAGAGTATTTGGGTTAGGTATTTAACATGTGCCATTCTGACAATAAAATGATTATAATTTTAGGAGTTGAATTCAGGTGGCATTTATTTAAAACATACCTGAACAAAAAAAACCCTAACCTTCATATCATCAACGCTGTATTTCTGCTTTTCATTTAAGCAGTATAATCCCTCTAAGGATCCCTAAATGGTTAGTGTTAAGCAGTTGGCTGCTGATCAAAAGGAGCCACCTAGTGGCGGTAGAAAGACCTGGCAATCTGCTGTAAAGATTGTTGTTAGGTGCCCTCGAGTTGGACCTGACTCATAGCGACCCCTCCTTGGGTTTCCGAGGCAGTATCACTAGGGAAGTAGATTGCCCAACCTTACAAACTCGAAAACCCTACAGAGCCGTTTTACTATGTCACGTGGGGTTGCTGAGTCGAAATGGACCTGATGACACCCAATAACAACAACATAGTTCCTCTGGAGTCGCTGGGCGGTCAAATCACTAACACGCGTGGCTGCTGCCGGAAAGGTTAGTGGTTTGAGTCCACCCAGAGGTCCCTTGGAAGAAAGGCCTGGTAATTTACTTCTGAAAACTCAGCCATTAAAAGCATATTTCATCCCTGACACTTGAGGTCTCCATGAGTAGGAATCCACTGAACTATTTTATTTTATTTTTTAATAATTCCTCCAGAAGGAATAGCATTGGTTGGAAGCACTGTAAATTCCAGTGCATTCAAGGCAGGACAATTGACAATGAGATTTTGCAGCATTATACACAGGCTCCTGTTGAAGGTAATTTCCTTTGGGAGAGTTCCTCAAATGAGCCACGGCTTTGGGGTGGCATATTTCTGTCATCCATGAGTGAGGAAATTGTAACTGGTATTTTACCCCACACCATGTCTCTGTCATTTTACAAGCTATTTCTTTTTAGAAGTTCTTCCTGATAGTTTAATTTGTAAAAATATTTGAAAAATTCCTCCAGTTCAGTGAATAGGATGGAAATTTAAATTTAGACACGTGATGTTGGTTTAAACTACAGGGATATGAGGTGAAGGTTTCAGTGTTCCTGGCATTTGAGATCCTGGGATAAGTTATTTGAAAACAGACCTTTCAAGTGAGAAGAATCTTAAAGAAATTTGTTATTGTCATGCTAAAGGTTTTACCCTGAGGGATCCAGAGCCTGGATGACTCTAGCACCACAATATCAGCAGAAGGGCTTTAGGATGGCTGGGGAAAATGGTTGTAGCAAAGCCACAGCCAACACAAAATATTGAAGAAGTTCTCCTAAGCTGTTAAAACTGTCCCATGCCACATCAACTTTAAAAAAGAGTTAACAGAAACACTTTTTTTTTTTTTAGTGAATTAAACATTTGATGAATCGATTGCTTCTGGGCTGGTTTGTTGGAGCTGCCAGTCACCCCTCTGTGGACCTACATGTCTGCTGATTGTTTCTGGGTTTCTGGAATGGGCAAGGCATCCTTGGGTTCTGTCCAATTTGCCACCGATTACTAGGGAAGCTTCTGACTAAGCTTGTGTGGCAACAGTTTCTCCAGCCAGATGGGAAACAGTATGTAATTCTGGGCCTGTTCAAAAGACAATCTGTCCCAATTGGATACTATCCAAAAGCAGGTCAGAAAGCACCAGGCAAGTAAAAAAGTCACTCAAGTGATCCGGGATAAAAATAGCCCATCAATTTTCTGTAGTTATTCAGTTGATCTGTGGCTACTCTGAGGTGACTGATATCTTTTTCTATTGTCTCAGTGTTTCCTGGCATGTACACAATTTTTTATATTCTAGTGCTGACCAAGGTCTAGAATTTAAGAAAATAACTTTCAAGGGGAAAAAAAAATGTTAAGGAATGGTGGTAAACTAGTTCATCGAGGAGGCAGAATAAAAACATAACCAATGTCACAGACCATGGATTGAGTGGCCTTTGTACCGTACTAGGTGTCTTTCAGTGTTGGTTCACTCTGTCCTGATTTTCTGTCTTGGAAAGTTCATTATTTTGCTGCCAGGACTCTCCTCTTCCTCGTTTCCCTTTTAGTCTCCATACACTGCTATCCTTTGATATTTTTATTGATATTTGATATTGATATTCATTCAATAGAAATGAGTCACTCCACAATGGACTAGTTTGCTTGATGTTAGTGTACCTTCAGTGGAGCTAGGAAATATGTTCTGTAAACAAAGAAACTAGTGATTGGCAGGTTGCAAACCAGGCTCCTTAGCACCTCTCTTACATTAGTCATTTGACTGAACCACAGAATGTGAGAGGTGCCTGCTTTATACAAGGATAGATACAGTTTAGGCTTTTCTTGTGCTTTTGGGGCCTATGATTAATCTCTGAACTACTGGCTGAAAGGCTGCCGGCAGTTCAGACCCCCTCGCAGGTACCTTGGGTGACAGGCCTGGCAATCTGCTTTTGAAAAGTCACAA